TTTAGTGCTACCACTAAAATTTCTGCTGTGCCTTTCCTGTAGATTAATCAGGTACTTCAGGGTCCAAGCACCTTTCAATAGCAGTAAAATCCATATATGATTCTCGTAAAAGCTGAAAATAACAACTTAGTGTTACTAAAATGTGGATGGGAACCATGATGTTGCTTGTTGTGGTTACAAAACACATAGGTCAGTTGGATGCAGACACAATAGAGATTTACTTCTGCACTCAAATCTACTTCATTTTATCTTCTAATTCTAACCTGCCTGAGGAAGAAACATCTTGTATTGATTAGCTGGTTTTGAAGACAATCAATGCTCTAACAAGTACATGACTCAAAAGCGTCATCAGAATTATCAGGGAATTAAGTACTTTCTGCAGTCTTGAATGGTATGTCAAGTGTCTTCTTTACAGGCTGATGTTCATATATCTCTCTATATTTGAGTCTCTGGAATATTATATTTAACTTTACTCATGACTTCCTGCAGTGACTACAGTCTCTGAGCTGTGATTTAACACTGCTCATACTACCCTTCCCTGTGAGGCTGGGACATGGTCTGATCAAGCAATTTCTCCCTCCTACTCAAATAAACCATGCGTTTAAAAAGCCCCACAGCTCGAACATACAATACATTAGTGTTATGGGCCTGATCAGGAATATCGTAAAGTTTGACTGTGAATTGCTTGTTTCATAGCCACTGCCTTAAAGTAAAAACCAACTCAGGTAGGAATTGGAAGGGGCCACAATGTGTGCTCATGCTTGCCACATGCCGAGTGTACCTGCTCTCGGCTCCTCGGGGCTTGGGGAATCACTGCAGCTGCAGGAGTCAGTTCTGGAAATTCAGAGATGCTCCCAACATACTGCAACTGCACCACCAGCACCTGAGCCACCAGGCTTTATCTCAGGCTGAACATCACTTCTGCTAGGCCAGTGTAGAGGTTTCCCTTTGGAAAATGTTTCTGTCCTTTTATTTGCCTGCACTAGCAGACAAATTTGTTACACAATGTGGGGTCTGAGGAATCTGAGATAATGACAGTAACTGGGAGAGGTAGCAGGCAAAAACACAGACTGGACACTGCCAAGGACTTCAGTAATTGTGGGGAGTCTTCTGTTGTAAGATGGTGAGGGGACAAGGGGTAGTTTTGTTATGTGAGTATATTGTCCCCCATTTGTTGGTGGTGTGACAGCACGGCTTTAATTTTAGTGTGGATTTCTTTTTGGTTCATGTAAATGAGGTCTAGGAAGAGTGCATGAGGAATGTATATTTTAACGTCAATTCAGCTGATTAAGGCCTATGACTACAAAAGGGGGTGGTGACTACTGGATGTCACCATTTTGAAGGGACTTTACATAGCCGTGATATTAATTTATTCCTTGGAAAAACATATAGCACTATATACTCTGAGCTTATGTAAAGTAGCATGACAAAGGAAACAGGAAGCTGGCATCGAAATCTATGAATTTATACCAGTATCAGACTGGTGAGAGGGGAGTCCGGGTGACTGCCCAAACTAGAACCTCCCTCAGCACATGAAAAGGTCAGACATGGAAGCTTTGTATGGTTGCCCTTTACCTTCCTCTGCTGTTGACTTGAGTTGTGAAGGTTTTACGGGGAACACTGTGCATACACGTCTGTGCTGATAGGAATACTGTGCTACACATGCTGCTTTGGAAAGGAGTGGCTGCTCAGGATCTGCACACAGTTATCAAATGGCTGACGGCTGCTCCTGGTTTTTTTATTCAGGGGTCCAGCATGAGAACTGGACTGTGAATACTGAGCTATTATTGTCGGCTCACAAATGTTGAGCTGGTGGTATTGATTTTTGGAAAAGATGTTTGGAGCAGCAATAAAAATAAAAAATAAAGTCAAGCACGATGAGGTTTTACAAATAGCCAATAAAAGAATCCACAAAAAACTCAGTAAACTCTTGGGCTATTCAACCTTGACAATGTCCTTTTCAATCTGAATCCAATCTTCAACTCATGCTTTGAGCAGCCAGCTGCATTTGTTTCCACCCTCACAATGCTCCGCTGGCTCAATGAGTCACTCTGAGCTACAGCTTGCACTTTTAAGCTTTCACACTCTACAGAGTCACCCTGGGAGAGCAGAGAAATAAATGCATAGTGGAGGACCTGGAGTAAATGATAAAAGTCCTGTCCATCAGAAGGAACTTCTGAAGTCAATGGGAGCTCACAGCATGGGGTAGCTGTGAAGCTAGATCCCTTCTGAGACTTCAGATGGACCTCCCAAGCACACATGCTGTCCCTTCGTAGACTTTGGGATTTACAGTGTTTGATTTACCCCATAAGAAGGTGAAAAAAAGGCAGTGACTTTTCTTATAAACTTTATTAGCTTACTAGACTTGTAAAAATACAAATACAAAGCAGTTCTTGAGCACAGAGGTTTAAAAAAGCAATCTTTTACTGGGTGATGATATTCCACAACTGTAGCCAAAACTGACATATAATCATTCAATACCTCTCAAAATCAAAAATTAACTATCCTGAATTAAATGCTCCATATGTAATTTTTCCAAAATTGGAGTCCCTGAAGAAAACTGACCGTCAGTGTCTGAATATTTCATTATTTCCGACACAAGGGACTTAAGTCACCACTTTAGTTTAAAACCAGAGTAATTAGCCTAATCTTATTTCATTACACGAACATAAAATTGGAGTAATTCAGCTATAAATTAGTCCAAATATTTCTAGAACTACTCACGAAGATAAAAATTAAAATGGGTAATGTAATGTTCTTTATGGACAGATGCTAACAGCTCTGCCTTCAAGGGATAATGTTTTATCCTACCAGCAGTTCCATTAAACTCACTGGGGATAACCGGGGAGCAAGTTAGAGCATAAAATACGGCACACAGTTACCAGTATCTGGCTGTGAGTTTGCACAATGCCCTCTATGATGGGGTTCCTATCTGGATATTACAAAAACACACATAGGAGACAAAATCAATTAATGAGCTTTGAAATGTAACTGAAATATTGAGATAGTTGAAATCAATTAAATAAAAAGATCTCTTTGAGCTCCAGTAACCCATTCTGCTTCAACCATTACTAGCTGTCTTTGACCGTGATTTCATCTCCTCCCAGGTGAATACAAATTAGCAGTGTAAATCTATTCAAACAGTCTCCGAAGAAAGGACTTTTTCACTGGTGTTGTTAACTTCATGGTTGTCTTTTTGCGCAATGGTTTCATGGGTTGCTTTTTCAGGTGCGCCACCTTCTTGGGAGTTTGTAGCCCTTTGTTAAGGTCAACGTGCTCATTGCAGAAGTACTTGACATTTGCTTCTGAGAGATATAGGAGCATGGTCTCTGAGAGATCCATACATTGCGCGTGGACCCAGTGGCCAGCCCCGCTGGAACACAGGATCATTGCAGGCTTGTTGAGTTCTGTCGAATAGAAAGGGACCCAGGTGTTAATGTCAATATTGCAACTGGCAGAACAGGTGATCCAGTAGCCCGTTTCTGATTCATCTTCTTCATCATCTTCATTGTAAGTGTCAGCATCATCAACATCAAAGCTATTGGCTTCAGCACTAAAACAAAGCTCTTCCGAATCTTCAAATGGAGTGGAGTCTCCAGGGTCTTCGGTCGATGCCTTACTGCAAATTTGTGCTGTCAGTTCTTCCTCCTTGTCCTCTTCTGCTCCTTTGCATCTCAAAATGTAGAAGTAGTTTGCATCTGAGATTAACTGTTTGTTGGCCCCTGGAATGCCCAGCAACACAGACCCTTTGCCCATATCACAGCCAAACCACATCCTGCAGTGTTTAATATCTGGTGTCCAGTCTGGGCTTGCCCTTTCAACAATCTCTATCTTACTGTCTTCCAGAACTATGGTGTTACACACCAACCGTTTCTGGTTGTCAGACTGGTAACCCCCAACAAGGACAAATTCGGTATCACCGGTTTGTGTCACTATAGCGCTTGACACAGATATCCCACCTGGCAAGATGCTGCAGGTCACAGCTGGGCTGCCCAGGGGGAGATCAACTTTTAGCTTGTACAAGCTGGGGGACCTGGTGTTATTTTGAAGTGAATGGCCTCCCAGAATGTAGATTGTATCATTTCTGGCCACTGAAACGTGGAAAGCAAGTCCGTCTTGAAGCTCTGGAAGTATGTATGACGTACAGCATCCAAACTCAAAATCAACGAGAAACACAGACGGTAAACAGTCAACCACGCTGTTCCAGTTTTCGGTGGTTCTTTGTGCAAGAGGAGTATATGATCTCCCCCCAAATATAACACTCATGCTTCTTCCCTGGCTATGTACTACGTTAATTGTGTGCCCATATCTAGCTTCAGGGACATCTCCAACCAGGTCTTTCTCAACACATTGGAACGTGGTTTTCTTGATATTTTTGCTGACCAGACTCATAACATAAATCTTATCAGAAAGGTCATTGTTAGGTGTTTTCCCACCATGGATGATATACTGGTAATCCTCAGACTCCGCACTGCCTCTGACTGTGCAAAGAGCAGGGTAGCGGAGAGGGGGGAGGTAACAGGAGTTTTTTGAGAAGAAGGCGGGTTTCATTTTGAGCTCGTTCTGCTTTATATCGAGGAGGAAAACACCGGTGGGACAGGATCTCTTCGGCCACCCTTTCTGCCCAAAAAGAAAAACATGCCCATCAAAATTCAGGAGAGAGAAGCCCGGCTGAAGCAAGGACGAATTGCTGATGGTCGATACCATCTGCAGCAACATTTCATCTGCTGGCTGGGCCATACTGTGTCAATATCTGAGGGAAAAAAAAAAAAAAAATCAGAAAAGAAACAGATGAAGCGTGCTTTAGACCCTACGAAAGTTATTTAACACCGCTTTAATAACAGCTGTATTAAAGTTGCATTTCAGTGCCCGCTTTGAGACCCCAAAAGAGAGCCTTTTCTGGAACTGAGGGCACGAACGCGGCCGGCGCCGCGGGCTTCCGCGCCGGCCGCGGCCTTGCCGGCACGGCGGGGCCCGCGCAGCGCGGCGGCCGGCCGCTGCCATGGAGACGCGGCCCCGCGGCCTGCTGGGGCCGGTAGTTCGCGCCGGGGCCCGGGCCCGGCGGGTTCAGCGGGCGGGCAGCGGGTGAGTGGGGCCGCGGCACGGTGGGCGCGGGTGGGGAGCGGGGGAGGTCCCGGCCGGCCAGGAGCCGAGCCCGGCCGTGCTGGGGACGTCGCGGAGCCGTGGCGGCGCGGTGCTGGGTGTGGCTGAGGCCGCGGCCCTCGGGCCGGCATCCCTGTGCTCGCAGCTTGCTCGGGTGACGGCGGCGGGGGGGCCTCGCTGCCGGGTCTTCCCGCAGTGTGATCACATTCTTTGCTGTTTGCTCGTGCTTTCAGGAAGAGGTTTCAAGTTTTTTTTTTGGTTTTTTTTTGGTTTTTTTTTTTTTTTTTTTTTGTCTTTACGCGTTTGTCCAAAATTTTGGAGAGAGAGTGTGTGTCATCAGCCAGGTTGGTGACACTGAAGGAGCTCTGGAAAGCAGACACCAGGGAGGGAAACAACTGGTGGGTTCATTGGCACTGTCCTTTGGTGACAGCAGAGTTGTGCCTTTTAGTAAGCGCCCACGTTCTCTGTGTCAGGCTTTGCCAAATCCCCAGAATTTAAAAGTGTGAACTAGCTTTCACATATGGTCTTTGGAAAAAAATATAAAACCTCTAAATTTTAAAATATAAGTCCTTGTTTCAAGATGCTTAGGATTTGTATTTTCCTTCCTCTTGCTTTTCAATTTGCTGTAACAACAAAACCAGGACATGTAGGGTTTCTTTTCTAAGAAATTATGGGTATCTTCTAGTGATGTGACATTAAAACCCGGGGACTCCGAAACAACATAATGTTCAGTAAGAGACACTGTAAAATCATGGGAACTGCTGACACTGACTGCATCAAGTTGCCATCCATGCATACCCTCAGTCACAGTAGGAGCTGTTGTACCACGTTCCTGTGCTGCCTGCCTGCAAGCTGGTATGCAAACTGCTGTGCTAAAATATGGATCTGCCATTAAACGTTTTCAGAGATAGGTGACCCTGGTCAGGTGTGCTCCGGCCAGAGTACACAGACAGGGTAGGTATTATTGCCATACCAAGTCTATTTTAAAAACCATGGAATAGCTGTGTTATCTTTTTGCATGTTGTGGAATCATCCAAAGATCGTGGTCAAGTTCTGTTCACTGTGTAACCAGTCCTAATGCCTCTGCCCTGAAGGTGGCTGTTTTTTCTACATTTAGACTCCTTTTCAGAAGTACTGCACTGTGGGTCAGGTTCAGTTACAAGTTAATTAAATAAGTGAACCCTGTTCTGAGCATGTCAGTATACACAGCAGATTTTGTTATAATTTGCATGAAGAAAGGTTTGCCAAGTTTTTTACCTCCAGGTGATATACTAAACAGGAATCTCTGTTTTTAGAGGAGTTTGCACTAAGAAGAGTTTACTGGGTTAGATTCCCTTTTGTCTCTTCTTTCATATTGTGTGGTTACTTAGCTTCTCTGTTTTTACAGGATCTTTAGAGAAGTATTATGTCTTCCATACTGAAGATGGAAAGAGCACATCTGAAGTTAGTGTTCTATATTTTGTAACGTCAGTGTTCTACATTTGACTGCTGGTTTGTGTTTGAAATCTAGCAAGAGTATTAAAAATGGCAAACAATTTAATTGAGATCTTGGCATTCATCTTACATTCTTACATATACTCGAAGAATCTCCAAATACGGCAATTATTAGCATCCACAATGTCACAAATTATTTCCCAAATGCTGAGCGGTACTCAGTCCTGAGTAGTATGCTATATGAAGAGTCCATTGCAGATATAAAATGGAGAAAAGACCAATGAAAATGATCAAAAGTGAGACTGAGACACACAGAGCTTTCTGGTTAAATAAACACACTTAAGTGCATTTCCTCCTTGTCGTCCCTTAATATTTCTTGAACTTTATGTAAGCAAGCGGTTCAGTAAGTAACAGAATATTTATCCTAGGTTCTCTGACAGAAGTAGCTCCTTAGGCACTTGCTGGAGTTGCTTTGGCTTTCCAGGTTGTTTCATGCTAATTACGGCGTGTTCATATGGCGTGGTTGATCTTTGGCTACGCTGACCTCCACCTCTAGCCTTCCAACACCACTGATTCCTTTGGGCCAATACTCATCTGACCCTGAGCAGCTTTGGGGGGCCCAGAAGCTAGATATCTAACCTTATAACCAAAAGTTTAAAGTTTTTTTGAGGCTTTATGCTCAAAACCATTTCACTGTGGAGTTGGATTAGCATTAGTGCCAGTCTGGAGGGGAACAGACAAATGCCTTAGTTGTGGTGCTGCACAAGACAGAGGGGAAAAGACACAATGAGAAGTAAAGACAGATAAATAGAGAAATGTGGAGTTGCATAAACAATTACCAGTTATGGTGACTTGAGTCATGCTTCATCATATTTCGTATTTTTATAAAAGATGAAGGTCCAAGGATTATATAAATAAGTGAGAATCTCAGCATTACTTTTATAACCCGTGTATTTGAGAAGTGAACTGTAGATATCTGAGCAAGAAGCTAAGCTAACAGAAAGAAGAAAACAAATATTCTCTTCTATTTTATTTAAAAATCAAACATTATTTTTTTTCCAGTTAATAGTTGTTTGCATGACAAGAAGAGATTACAGGGAATTCAGTTTTAGATAGATGCATTGGGAGATACATTTACAGAAGGATCAAATGAAGAGAGAAGGTGCTTTTTAAAAGCACTATCTAATGTAATTTGAAATGTACTTAGCATGGAAATAGATGAACATATTTATAATTTTGTGTGTGCGGTATTATTTCAGAAACTATATTAGGTGTTCACTGAGAATGTTATAGAAACAAGGGATAGGATTCAGGCGCCTAAATAACAAGTGACATTTAATATGCCTTTGGATATTCTTCTTGTCTTCTAGATTCTGCTATGGAAGGCAGCGAATCTCCCATAGGTCCTGTGTCCTAGGTCCTAGTAAATCTAGGGTTTATAAAATGTCACTAGATTACTATGTTTAGGCACTGAGTCACTCCCAAACTGTGTTTATGTTTACTTCTGACTGTTCTCTTTGACCCTATGTAGTAATTGTTCACCGATGTGCTGTGCTTGTTACCCAATTAGGCAACAAAAACATTTTAAACAGGAGAACAATGAATAATCAGTACTATTTTTTAGTGTGACATTTCATATTAATATTTATCAGCATTAAAAAATACCATATTCATAATAATTTCACAGTAATTTGAATGCTACCAAATAATGAATGATTAGATCTTACGAACTGTAGCAAACCCAAAACACCTTTCATTTACACAAAGATAAGGTATTTGAACAGCACTGATTGGACACTGAGAGAATGGATTGCAGGATAGCATGGAGTCTTAGTTGACAAATGCTTGTTGCTGACCACTGAATTCTGTCATTAGTTTGCAGTTATTGTTAGCTTGTCATGAGCACACATATCTACGGTAGAATTAAATTTATTTTGCAATATTGTATATTGTTTGTGGTTTTTTTTTTTTTTTTTTCTCTGACTGATCTGCAGGGTCTTCCTTTGCAAAATGAAAAAGCATACCCCTGAGAAGCAAGTGCTGTTCCCAAATTCTTCACAATCAAAATCATATCCAGACATTGCCAGAGCTTTGAAGTCCTCCATAAACAGGCTTAAGGAAGGAAGTCTTTATATAGTATTTCTCAAAACATTCATTAACTGTATCAACCAAGTTTGCTTTGAGCAAAACAATAAGTTACACGTACCTGGCTGATAGGGGCTTTTTGCGTCCTCCGAAATCTTTCTATGTAATTGGGATTCAAATGTGAGCACTTTGAGGAATCTTCTCAGGGGGCTTGTGGCATGGAGAGGCAGCTTGGTGGAGGGGAATCTATCTGCTTAATTTGCAGATGTGCTCCTGAGAACTCCGTCTACTGTGGCTAACTGGCTGTGACCGTTTTTTTTTTTTTTTTTTTTTTTTTTCCCTTTCCTCTCCTCTCTTGTCTTCAGAAGGTAGAACAAGAAACCCACCAGCCTCCAGAAGCTTTAACTCTTTGCAGTAGAACCAGACCAGAGTAACAGTAAATATCTGTTAGATTATAAATGTCTGGAGCATATGCTCCTTCATAGTTTTAATTTTTTACACTGCTAAACCTGTCAACCTCATGATCTTTTTTTGGCTATTGCAATATAAGAATGTAATTAAAGGAATTTTTGAGTTCAAAGAAAAAATAATTTCAGTAGCTAGTAAAAGAAACAATTCCTGCTGATTGGCGTACTACTGCTTTCCCCAGGAATGCTCCTCTGCAAGTAGGTAGCGTCACTGAAACAGAGCAAAGGAAAGGACAAATGCATGCAACCCAGTGAGTGAGGGCTGACTAGAAGTCCAATTCAAAGTCCACTGAAATCATTAGGAATGCCTTTTATTCTACTTCAGTGGCCTTCTGATCAGACCTTGAAAGACTAATAAAACTTTTGCACCCTTCTGTGGCATTTTTCATCAGTTTCACAGCGCTTTTCTCCAACAAAAAATAATTAGACTCTGGGAAGTCCTCTGGGAACATATCCTTCCAACAGCTAGCTGTGCTGGGGCACAGAGGATAAGCCACTTGCATAGTATAGCTCAGCAAATGAACAGAAAAACCTGGAAAACAATTCACTCTTCATAGCTCCCTGGTTTTGTTTCCCTGGCCCTACTTCACCCACTCCTGAGTTAAAACATCTGCTGTACAGTATTTTAGAAATATCTCATCTCCCATTTGAAACTGCTGTGAGAATAGAAAGAGCTTGAAATGGAATTTGATTAGTACAGCAAAGCAAACATACCAAATGTTTGCAAAAATTGTCTTGAGACACTGAATAACTGTAATGCAGATAGGATGTGGTGACATTTCTCATCTGAAATACAGCAGCTTTAAGGCACTGTGCCCTGTAGCATCCATATGGGCCTATTACTTCTCTACCAAAACACAGATAGTAAGTGAACTGTACAGCAAAGTTGAAAGCTGAAAAAGTTAACTTCCCCCAAATTTAAGGGCATTCAGATCACATTTATTTCTGTTTTCAGTAGTGCCTAGATGGTATTTGAGAGCTTCTTATCCAAGTGCT